GGGGAAGATGCTGCTGTACTGGCTTCACTGAGACAGCATCAACAGGGCCTGCTACATGACGTGTAGTGTTTCTCACTGTAGGTAGCTCCTGTGTGTCGCTGATGCCAGGAGATCACCCAGCTTATACTAAACACATGCAGCCTTCTATGTACCTGTGGCTCTGCTGTTGTCTCTTAGCTCACATCTGTCAGATATTCTAAGATTAATAGATGGTGGGCTGGGGAGATAGCTTGGTGGTCTGAGCGCCTGTTTGGCAAGCACAAGGACCCGAGTTTGATACCTGGTACCACATACCGTGCTGGTCCTGGAACCCCAGGCTCACTATGTTAGCCTGGAAACTGGGTGTGGTGGCACATACCTGTAATCCCAGTGCTGGGGAAGCTGAGACAGGAGAATTACTACAAGTCTGAGCTGTGTAGCAAGACCCTGTATCTTGTATTTGGTCCTAATTATTTACCTAAGGCATGAAAAATTTTAAGACTTGTTGGGACGTTTAGCACAATAGATTTTTTTTTTCTTTGTATCAGGGATTGAACTCAGGACCTTATACTTGCCAGGCATGCGCTTATGCCACTGAGCTATCTCCCCAGCCCCAGAACAACAGAATTAAACTTTGTTCTCTGACCACTCAGTAGGCTTTTTCATAGTCTTTTCCCATGAAGTTTTGAATACCACTTTGACATCCTAAATTGTGAAGTAAAGAAATATAGAGATGAAATGCATACCGCAGGCTTTGTATATTCTCATGCTGGATTGGTGGACATTAGCTGGTGAGTTATCTTCAATTTAGAATATATAGATATTGGGCTAGTGAGCTAGCTCAGCTGTCTAAAATGCCTGCTTAGGCAAGCTTAGGCAAGTGTGTAGGGACCATGGTTCAATCCCCGGCACCACATGCTGTGCCAGCCCCGCCCCCAGGGTAGGCTGAGCTGGCCGCAAATAAATAAAAAAATAAATAGAATATATAGATATTACTGTGGATATAGCTCAGTGGCATACGTGTCTACCTGGTAAGCGCAAGGTCTTGAGTTCAATCTCCAGTACTGAAAAAAAAAAAAAAAAAGAACACACACATATATATATATATATATATATAGTCTTATAGGTGTAAGTGTACACAATATAAAGATATCTATTAAGTATTTCTCCTCTGTATTGCCAATTCAGATCACTTTTATTTATTTATTTATTTTTGTGTGTGTGTTTTAGGGAAAGGTCTATAGGGTGTTCAGGGTCTCATAGTGATCCGCCTATTTACAGCCTCCCAAGAGCTGAAATTACAAGCGCCAGCATGCCGCTTCTGCCGAGCTATTTGGCCAGCCCCAGATCACTTTTAAATTGTTACATAAAGTAGCTCAATCTAAATTTATGTTTTTAAAAAAATAGGCATAAAGGGATTTTATTAGGCAGAAATGTAGTTCATGAGGCTCAACTACCTCTAGGCCTGGAGAGTCAAATGTTTTACATCATGCTGCCCCAGATCCAGAGGGAGGAGGGACAGGGAGAACCGAAACATCCTTACCTCTTGCCCTTGCAATGCCCTGGCATCCCCAGGGATGTGGTCCATGTGTGGCCCAACCTGTGCTATTTTGCAAGTGTATGGAAGCATCCAGGATATACTCTGAGAAGGCTTGAGTGATGGGATAATTAGAACTGGGGAGCAGCAGGGCAGATGGATTACTGGTGGGTAATAGCTTGTTTGCTAATTGTGAGCACCAGATTTTCTGGGCAATTAGGCATTTGGTTTCTTCCAAGACCTTCTGTGCAAACGTGGACACATGGCCCTGGGCCTCCAGGTAGCAGGTGGAGAGACTGCGCCTGCGGCTGGATGGCATCTCTCTGAAGCTGCCCAAGGGGCTGTGGTCAGGACTGAACCATGGCCAACAGATGGAAAGAGCATCTGGCTGGACCCCTAGGAGAGAGGCACGGTCACTCATTTTTATGGAAGGGGTGCCCTTGTGCCGGGAGGTTAGTATCGGGAGTTCAGCAGGCTGATCGAGAAACCAGGTTTATTTTTCCATTATGGTTTCAAGAGCACCAGGCTGGGCTAGAGTTAAGGTTTTTGCCTGGTTATGTGTAAAGCCCAGGGTTTGAACCACTCACCTCTTGCCCCTACCAAAATAGCACAGTGCCATGGATTCCAATAAAAATAGAAAATAGTATTCCTTGTTGTCAGAAGAGCAAGTTGATTTTGTGTCTCTGTGGGTGGGGGTGGGGGTGGGGGTTGAGGCAGGATCTCACCGTATAGTCCAGTGTGGCCTTGAACTTGCTATACATTGAACTCAACCTCCTGCCTCAGTGTCCCAGGATATGTGTTGTCATTTGTCATAATTTGTCATGCCTAGCAAATCTCTCTCTCTCTCTCTTTCTGTCTGTCTCTGTCTCTCTCTCTGTCTCTCTGTCTCTGTCTCTCTGTCTCTGCCTGTCTGTCTCTGGTGCTGGGGCTTAAACCCAG